GGTTTCAGAGGGATTTCCCATAAGTTAATTTGATACATTTGGATTTCCCGACAGAAGAAAACCCACTGCTTTAACAGTTCTGCAGAATGTTCTTGCCACTATTCGTCTAGTTACTAGTTACAAGTCTGAGTCATCAAATGGCTTCAAATAACTCAAATAAGGACGGGACCATTAGGCTCGGAGGGGCCTCCGTTCTTGAATATACCCCAACTTTTCAAATACTCCTAGGGTCCACGTCGGCCTTCTATAGATTTCAGCATCCTGTGATTCAAGAAGGACTGTCAGGGTCCTGAAGACCGTAGGAGGGAGCTCCTCGTTAATTCAGCAGGAGCGATAAGTTTATTCACGAGTGGTCTCCTGAAAGCCCCTCCCATTTTAACTGGTTTGCGCCGAAAAATAGAAATTTTCTAGAAAATTCTTCAAAAAAAGCGACAGAGAGCAGGAACGAACATTTTGTGAGCAAATAATTACAGCAATCAAAATTATTGCAATGGCTACCAATAGGCAACACTTTAATATTTCTATTTGTTACTTGAATGACTGGTAGCTACTTCCACCCGCTCTCCCCCCCCCCTCCCACCTTTTTTCGATTCAAAACAAACAATGGCAGACTAAAAAGCTCATTTCGCATCAATTGTCAAACTAGTTCACGAATGATTTGCGGCAGGTTTTACCAAACCAGACTGGCTAAGTTCTAGACAAACTTCTCTCTAATAGGTTCTTGATGACGTCATTGAGTCCCGACGAACAATTACCGATAGAAACCCGTTTTCCTGTGGAATTTCCAGCGGTAATTGTCAGTTAAAGGCGCGATAGTTCTTCCATTAGCGATTCCCTCAAAGGAAATGTTGCGGCGGTAAATCATTTAAAATTGTATGAGCTCTTAAAGTAATGTGAATTGGGTAAGAAGATAACATTTTCATTTTTCTTCTCCTCGGGGTGAGAAAAGAACTGGATCCTTTTGTAGAGTAACCGCTTATTTGACTAAACCAATTCGTGGCGTGTTTTGAGGAGTTTCAGTGGAAAGGAGGGGAGGGGGGGGGGGGGCGAAGTTGCAGAAGGGATCAGCATTAGTTTGAAAAAATTGTGAATTTGAGGAATGGAGAGATTTTTCGGGTTGTGCACTCCACTCATCAGGGTAACGTGTAAGTCGAGGAAACCCTGACAAAAAGCACGTAATGCTCGGAGCTTTTACTTTACTGTTTCCGATGGTTTACCGGAAGTGGCTGACCCCCGGCTCCCAAGACCAATGTTGCGATTCTGACCCGAGAAATTATCGAGTAACACTTTTAACCTACCTCTACATGGTCTCAAGTAGGAGATGTTTCTCCAACACGACGTCCTTACACCCCACTACTAGCCCTGGATACAATCCTCGTCAATCACTTTTGGGGGTTGTATTCGAAAGAGAAATCAGGAGGAAGGATCGTTTTGAGAAAACGCTTCTCCGGTGCTTGACTCCCCCCTCCACTCTCAAGCAATTCACTTTCCTTTGGTTACCCGAGGAGTTTTCTGTGAGAGACGGAATGAGCAGGGAGAGGTAAACAAGCTAAGCGGGGTCGTATTTGAAACAGGTGGGGTGTCGCACTGAGCGACCAGTACTTCTCAGATCCATAACGTTTCCTGATTGAGCCCGCTGCAACACGAAAGAAGCCTACCACTGCCTAATCAAATGCTTCTGCAATAATGAGTGAAAGCCAGATGCATGGCGCATTCGTTGATAATCCCTCATGACCAGCATTAGGGATTTTATGAGCACTCCCCCGATGTTTTTTATTTGACGTACAAAAAAAATCAGGTTTAAATCAAAATCATTTATTCTTCTCTAATGTTCTCGAGAAGAAGTGAATTAGCTGAGGAATTCACAACAAGGCAATTTCCTTCTGTCAGGGGAAATATTATACGACCCCCCCCCAACCCATTACCATCTCCTTAAACCCACCCATCTCCCACTACTTTTCCGGTGCTTTCTGTTCAAATCTCTGGTTTCAGATAGAAAAACTCGTCAAATCGGTGCAGGGAGAGGGAAATGAATATATAGTGCACTCGAAACAGAAAAAAATCTAGAAAAGTCAACCATCGAAAACGTGCTCTGGAAGGCAAATACGAACCCCATTCTGGGATTTCCCAAGGTACAACGGGCCCTGTTTGTAAGTGCGCCAAACTATGGCAGCAATGTGGCGTTTGTGTGTTTATGAGTGGGTTTCTGAACCTGAGTCCGGTAACGGAGGGGCAGGATGGGGGCGCTCAAATGACGACGAACGAGGGAGAATCGAGTGAAACATTCGACTGCACACAATCGAATGCAAACATTCCAAGCGGCTGCTGCTCGCACAATTATGAAAGCCTGTCCTGTTGTGCATTTAGTGACTCGATCGTCGTCATCGTCCCGATGGATTACTCAGGTAATTCTAGATCAATTTTGCACCCTCCCACCCAATTTTTGCCCCTCTAGAACTGAACAGTTCCCTTTTTGTACCTGTGCATGAACTGTATGTCGGCGTATTATACCCCGAGGATTATGCAAATTCCGGGCGCTGGCCCGTGGAACGTTTTGGGAGAAAGTTTCAAAACGGGTGTGTCGTACGCATAGAGAAATCTCACTCATGATGATGATCGATTGATCGATGATGATAAGGAGTGGCAGTGATGGTGGTGGTGGTGGTCAATATGTACGCATATGCGACAGTTGAGAAAGACCTTGGATAGGTGCGGCTATGAATATCTCTCTCGTATCGTACGGTCGGGTCGGTCGTCCGTCGATTGTACGTACGCCTACTTGCCTGCCCACCTGCCAGCGCTTACTGTTACGGGCTAGCCCGAAGCTCCCACCCCCAAAACCAAATTCATTTCTCATTCAATCAGTGCTGTGCTTTGCGGACATCCGGACTGACGGTCGGTCATCATTATGGCTGAAACCACGACCACTCCTAGGAGTTCTGGAGGTTTGTTCACTTCGTGTCTATAGCCTTATCTTACACCTACAAGGGAGCCCCCAGTCTGAAAGACTACCTTCTTTCGGGTCCTTCTATCTTACCAGATCCAAGGGAAATTTATTTCGTGCACGTTCCCATCGTTACTTCTCATCGCTGACGTTGAAAAAAACCTTCCTACAGTTTCGCTCACAACGTATCCATCCCTTCCGGGTGTCCACGCGGGGTCTCCGATTAGGTTTTTTTTTGTGAGTCCAGAGAGGAACGTTTACCCGTGTAATTGGTATGTCGCTATTATCCATGGACCCATTGGGGACCTATGTGATAAGTTATTTTGTCATCACGGTAAATACTAAACCCTAGAGAATCTAACAGTTTCACTTTACCCTTGAAAAGGGACGGGAGTTCTTCTCAGGCTGTAAATCCCCTACCCCTTATCGCTACAATCATAGGTCCCTAGGTACATTACCTTCTATCTCCTTCCAGCGTCCCTCCATAGGCATCCTGCACAACGCCAGCTCGGTCAATAAGTTCAGCGAGTTTCCCGATAACTTTCTTGTAACCCCGGGAGGGTTACTTTTACCCAGTTAATTGACATTTCGTACTAACTCATGGGTACATTATGTGGTAAGCTAATCTGTCTTAACAATAAGTAGCTTTTGGTCTCGGAAACCCTCCAGTTATAGATACTTTTCACTTCATCCTTTTTTTCAGAGCTTCATCAATTTGTGAAGAAGGCGGAATTTCTTCCAATATGACACCCAACCCCCAAGGCTAGGTAGCCCTAGGTACAATCCCTTTACCCTCCTCGCTCTTTCCATGGGGAATCCCTAGAGATTATGTGACGGATTCTCGGGTATCTTCAGTGTAGGAAAAGGAGTGGTGCTCCGCCATTGTCCCGAAATTAGTGTTCCCCCACGGAGGTGATCGCTGACAGCACCGTTCACGGCAACTTCCCCCCCTCCCCACCTTCCTCAAAGTTGATTACCAGTTACTCAGTTATTACTCATCAAGATAATCAATGTTTCATTGCAATTTCACATTGCTATTCGTCAGCGCGATTTTAGGAGTGAACTGAAAAACTTTTAGGGCAACTCGACTTGGTGGGGGCATCGAAAGGACTATCTGACCATAACTCGAACTACCGTAATGCAAAACTCAGCAGAAAGAAGTTGTTCCTACCATGCGTTTTCATTCCTTCATGCTCAACAAGGGTTCATCTCCATTATCCCAGTTTGGCGCCAGGTAGGGGGGTGCGGGGGGGGTGGTTGGGGGGGGCGAGTCTTCTTTACCTCGTTCCTCCTACCTGCGCAGAACTCTGTATTCAAAAAAGACGATAACAAATGTCAGTGGTGTTAGAATTATCACCGGCAGTCGCGCAACAGGGCGTCGCCTGAGCTAAGAATACGCGCACTGAGCGATTGCCGCGCCCATGTTGACGCGATTAGATGTGACTAATTGTGGTCCGGGTCAAACCTCGAAAGGAAAAGGGACTTTTAGCGATCAGAAATCACAAATTCCAAGCCAAAATGAACCATTTTCAGGCAGAGTGCTGAAGATGGTGACGGAAATGGGCTCGGCCACAATTGGAGGAATCTCACCGGCTTTGTCAGCCAACGCTGCTAAATCTTTCTTGGAGGCCACTGACAAGGAAAAGAAAGAGCTTCAGGTATATGGGCAGGTTTCTTGGACAGAACTCAGGGCCAAAGTCATCATTTTCATTTTTGTAGGGTTTGAACGATCGCCTCGGCAACTATATCGACCGAGTGAAGCGCTTAGAGGAACAGAACAGGAAACTGGTTGCCGATCTGGACGAATTGCGTGGAAAATGGGGAAAAGACACTTCAGAAATCAAGGTGCGTTAGAAATTTTGGGGATTTCTAAGGATTTTTGGCCCACTGGATCCTTTTAGGAGTCAGGGCTTCTTTTGGTGCTTCTTCTTGGGGCTTTATAAGTGACAATTTCCAGATAAAATACTCTACATCGCTATCGACCGCTCGCAAAGACATCGATGACTCTGCCAGAAGAAAGGCCGAGATCGACGTCAAAGTGGCTCGTCTACGCGACGACCTAGCCGAGTATAGAAGCCGGTGAGTGAGCTCGAGCTCATACTCATACATTCACTTACTGGTCCATCTTACTTTGGCTACCGATTGACATCAGCAGCGCTCTCATGTCGAAGACGTTTCTTTAGGGTCATTTATCGAGCGATTTCGATCGCTCGTGAAATGACTTGTAAAGCGCCCAAACCGGTTCTAAGGCACAGTTTCGTGCCATAATCGTCTAGAATCACGCAACCCCTCCCATTTCGCACTTGTTGTGCTTGCCGCCTCACCATCGTCCCAACACAAGGGGGTGAAATCTTTCAAGACGGGCTACCGTTAACATCACTTTTGCTTTTTGAAAAAAGAAAACCCATTGTTTGAGAAGGGCTCTATAAACAGAATTGCCGCGGTATTTCGCTTTAGCGCCTTGGGTGGTCTAAAGGGGGCCGAAGGGACTTGATGTAGAGAAAAAGCATCCGACAAGAAAAGCGATTGTCTTGGAAGTCCCAGACAGGAGGCTACGAGGAGCCTCAAAGTTGTGGAATGACGTCATCAAGAAGCCCTCACTGAATTTAAGGCTCCAGCTGAA